TTCATGTCACTTTTTCTTGTGTACAAACACTGTTGCACAAATAATTACCTGTTGGCAGTTCTTGTTTTAGCTTCTTTTTTATATCTCAGTTTGGCAGAACATTGAACAGGATTCACTTGGGAAGCAGAGTAAACACAGAAAAATTACTAATTTAATTTGTGCTACATTTACTACTATAAAATGTGCATGTTCCAATATGATTGTAAAGACTGATTAAACACATTGAATCAGTCTAAGGAAAAAAGGAACACATTTTAGTACACATTGATAGATATGTTAGAACTTTTTGACCTACATAACTGCAGACATTGTGGAGAACTTCATCTTCAAAGATCACAAAAGAGGCACTAAAATCACACCTCCTATCCCCTTATTTTCTTTGGCAGTAGGGATTTAGCAGAATACCAGCCTTCTAATGTATACAAGGAGCTATTAGAAACTGACTAAGGCTACATGCACAATGTGCAAATCCTGGTATTTTGTGCATCTGGGAGGCACAGCAGCCTTTCAAAATCTAAACCCTAACACTACATTTTTGGAAGATCAAAAGTCACGGATACTACTATTTCCTCACAAGTCCTTCCTCTACAGTAAATACCAGTAAAACACCTACAAAATCTTCATGTGTTGTTACCGGACTCCGACAGTTCTGATGTCGAAATTCCCTGAACTAAATCTGTTATGCTGATTATGCGGTTCTCAGGATGGCACTCTACTTCATATCTTCTGGGAATGTCAAAATCTCTGCCAATTTCCCACCACAGGTCCTGCAGATTGTTCATAAACTTACAGAAAGCTGTCTTGAGGACAGCCCAGCTGCAGTGCTCCTTAACTTGACTCCTATGCCCAGTAAGAAATACTGTACGTCTCTGTCGAAACATCTTCTGAATGCAGCTACGGCATGCATAGCCTGTATGTGGAAACAACAAACCCCACCCATTATATCTCAATGGTTTTCCAGGGTGAAAGATATTCAGCAGATTAAACAACTTACTGCTGCCCTTTGAGACACAACACACACTGGCAATATTGGGACGTGTTCTATTTCTCAGATGAGTACTTGACCTACTCCTAAATCGAGGTTATTCCTCTGGGAGAGATTGACGTCCTACACTATTGACTCCACCAAAGCTCCCCTTCTTTCCTCTCCCCCTCTTCCCCTTTCTTTTCTTCTCTCTTCTTTCTCCTTCTTCCCTCTCTTCCCCTCCTTCTTAGACACTTAGGGAGTTTATCCTCCCCCTCCATTATTCAGAAAATGTTCTCCGGTATATCCCAACCACTAGCTGCTACTGCTTGGAGGACAGGACAAGATGATTTTCTCCTTGGAAATATATATTTTTTCTCCCAACTCCAAGCGGCCTTGTGCCTGCCTGCCTGTCTGTTCCATCTTGTTCGTGTGTACACTTCATGGCGGCTATATTTGCTAATATTCTTCCTACCAAAATATGGGTTATGCTTGTCCTTAAAGCAAAGATCCTTAATGTATAACACTAATGACATTGCCTGTCATTGCCCTGGAGCCTTGTCTACTGTGGATTAGACCTCCTGTACTTTTTTGTTTGGGATTCACACATTTAACACATTTATGTTATCAGATGTTGTTGTACATAGTCTGACATGCCATGCTGCTATGTTGTGTTGCATACCTTAAATAAAGAAATAAATAAAAAATCTATAACACACTGAAATACATGGCATCTGGATACTGTACTGAGTGGTACTCATGTTTAGGGTTATATGCATTCAGGAACATATGTGTGGAATGTAAAATACCTGCGTTTTGGGCATACGTCCCTCAGTGCATACTGCCCTAAACACAGGTACCAATCAGTGCAGCCTCCCGCCAACAGCATTATCAGCCTTTTGTGTGTGCTTCTTTTGTTGACTTTTGGGCTGTATATGAGAAATCTATTAGATAGGTAGTCCAGCAACTAACCAAATCAGCTCACACAGCTTGCTGACAATGCTGATGCTAATTGCAAGGCAGTGGCCTAGCATTGTCAACTTGCCACATGAGGTGCGGTTATTTTCTGAATATACAGGTAAGAAATTTACTATTATTCAATATTTAGATTGCACCAACAATATAAAAAGGGGACAGTACAATTACAATACAGTTCATTACAGAAGGAATAAGTACGCTCTGCTCATGGAGCTGTCGGCTGACATCACTCACCTGGTCCAGGCTCTGAAAGGTACTCAACCATATGGTTGGGATCCACCTAGAAACCTGTACCAGCACCTGGCTCAGCCTCTCAGCAATCCACCGAGAGCCTGAGCCAGCCTCTCCAACCCCCTCCACATCCCAGTGCTCCAATGAGAGCTGGAGGAGCAGAGCAGAGAGTTGAAGACTGACAGGCACGGCTCTATGCTAAAAGTGGAGGGGGAGAGCTGAGCAATCAGCAGCCTTTGATCTCTCAGTTCTAACTGCAGAGCCCGCGAGGGATAGATGCAGCATCGGATTGATGAGGCATCCTCCTAGGTGAGTATAATTTTTTTTTTTGTTAAGTCCATACTTCTCTTTTAAGGCTGCAAGATTTAGCTAGTGATTGGATGTGGGGTCAGAGGGAGAAGGCAGAGAGGGAGAAGTCAGAGTCTGTAATTACATCTAGCACCCTGGCATGTGCAGATGCATCAAACATGGTGTGGTTAATCTCAATGATAAAGTCGTGACAGGGGGATCAGGGAGGAGGAAATGTTACAAACTCAGTTTTGCAATAGATTCACAAAAAATATTTGCTTAAAAAAACAAAAAATAAACAAAAGAAGTGTAAAAAGTGCACACTGATGCATGATGCCAGGCATACTGAAAAAAGATGCTGGGTTTACATACATTTAAGTAATTAATTATTCCACAGTACAGGCAACTACATATGTCAGCGGGAGCTTGTTTTAGAAAACTATTGTTTATGATTGTGTAGATACTTTAATTACATAGTCTGGAATTAAGAATGTAGCTGGGTCAGTTAAGGTAGTATGCATACTGTAATGAAGTATATGGATCATAAAAAGTGTGAAGGAAATGCATAGAAAGGACAACATTCACAGCACTTTTAGGTTCAGTAATAGTAATGCTAATAATAGTCATCGTGGAAGAATCACCCAAAATATGATGATTTTGACAACAGTCTACTGCGAGAAGTTTAGTGAAAACCTTGTCATAGAACGTGGTATAGAACAATTTATCAACAGTGTATTATCAAACAAATTCAGCATTATTCCTGCATAGGTTATGCTGGTTTTGCAACTTTTATTGGTGTAGGTATGAAAACTCATATAACAGGGGCAGTTAAAAGCAGTTTCATTACCAACATACATTTTGCCTGCCACATCATAATTAATTTGTGTAGGAGCGATATCTCAATGTTTAAAATGGTCATCAGTGCTAATACTGCTTTTACTCGAACCTGAGTTTGTTACACAAATACCAATATAAAATATGTTGGACCAGCATGGGAAGTGTGAGATCATAGTTTGGATGTGGATTCCTGACATGATGTGTGGGCTTATGTTTTGCTAGTGTAAGGACTGTGCATTGTCTTCAAGATCTTAGCGTCTCAAGAAATGTGGATACATTCTGTGATCAATTTATTTACTGAAGTCACATTCTGGAGTAACTCACATGTGTTTCTATGTGATTAAGGCAAATTACTGCAGCTTGCCAAATCTCTTGTTAGTCTTAAATTCACCATTTATGGCATTTACTTTATAGTTCTCTTTTTTTGTAATTCTTCCAGTCAGTTATTGTTTATAACAGTGGGGGAGTGCACAATACCTTTAATCAAATGCAATAGGCACCAAGGTAAGCAGAGGTATGCTAAAGATCAATTACTTATAGTGGCTATAAACATGAGTAATTCTCTTGATTGCATTCTAATACAATTATTTTATTAGGCTCCCATTCCATATTTTCAAAACACCGTGCTGTGTGTGTGTTTATAAGCTCAACATAATTAATATTTTAAAAATAGTGATAATTAGAAATTGACAATGCATATTGTTAGCTTGTTTAATAGCATGTACACCATCCTGCCACTTAAGCTGACCGTATATTTTATTTGCCTATAATTTCAAAGTAAACATGCATATCATATATTTTGAAACAATAAATTTACATTTAAAATGGAACTTAACTCTCTCAGTCAACATTGACTATTTTTAATACTTATTCTGCTAGCACTAATAAATAGGAAAGTATCTCATATTTACTTGTTTTATATATTTTTTTTACGTTTATTCAGTTACCTCTTGGTTTCCAGGCCTAGAAAAATTATATCATACAGTACATCCCACGAGTCTTCAGGAGAGGAGGAGGAATTTTCTCAGATAAGCACACCCTCCTGCCTGCATTCTTAAGCTAAGGGCAGATGGATTCTTGGAAGTAAATGCTACATGAATAATCTGCCCTTACTAAAGTTGACCACAAGCAGAAATACTAGGAGGGGTGTTTTTCAAAGTGATTTCCCAAAATAAAGTGTGAAGACACAGATGGTATGGAGAGTTTCCTTAGAATATTAGACATGAATTAGATTGTGTTTTTGGTTTGTGATGCTCATATGCAGTGTAGTTCTGCTTTAAGGGTTTTATCACTTTTAAAGAAAAGCGAACCTCTGATTAACTAGTTACCGACCACAGATAACCGATTGACGGCTACACTGCGACCGGCCAGTTCTGTGAGGACGTCATATGACGTCCTCCCAGAACGCGCTCTCCTGCGCCCCCCAGGGGGCACGCACCCGTCGATCTCCGTGATCGCTGTGTCACAGCTGATCACGTGATGTGGTAAAAGGCCAATCACAGCGGCCTTTTACCACGTGATCAGCCATGTCCATTGACACGTTGATCACAGGGAGAACGTTTCCTGTCAGAACGTGAGGAAAGTACTGCCTAGAACCGGCAGTTGTCAGAGCAGGGATCGGCACCGATCATCAGGGCACTGATGATCTGTGCTCTGATGATCGGTGCCCAGCAGTGCCACCCACCAGCTCTGCCCACCTGTGCCCAGTAGTGCCGCCCACCTGTGTCCAGTAGTGCCACCCACCTGTGCCCAGCAGTGCCACCTACCTGTGCCCACCAGTGCCACCCACCAGTGACCATCAGTGCAGCCCAGCAGTGCTGCCAGTCTGTACCACCAGTCAGTGCCCAGCAGTTGGGCCAGTCAGTGCCCAGCAGTTGGGCCAGTCAGTGCCCAGCAGTGCCACCAGTCAGTGCCCAGCATTGCCGTTAGTCAGTGCCGCCTATCAGTGCTGACTATCAGTACCCATCATCAGTGCCGCCTATCAGTGCCACCTCATTAGTGCTGCCTATCAGTACCACCTATCCATGCCACCTCATTAATGCCACCTATCAGTGTCACCTCATTAATGCTGCCTATCAGTGCCCTTCAGTGCTGCCTATCAGTGCCACTTATCAGTGCCCATCAGTGCTGCCTATCAGTGCAGCCTCATCAACGCACATCAGTGAAGGAGAAAAATTACCTGTTTGCAAAATTTTATAATAGAAACAAAGAAACTTTTTTTTTTTTTTTGCTCTTTTTTTGTTTATAGCGCAAAAAGTAAAACACCCAGCAGAAAGTAAATACCACCAAAAGAAGCTCTATTTATGAGAAACAAATGATAAAAATTTTTTATATGGGTACAATGTTGTATGACCGTGCAATTGTCATTCGAGGTGCAACAGCGCTGTAAACTGAAAATTGGCCTGGTAAGGAAGGGGGTATAAGTGCCCGGTAGGCAAGTGGTTAAGACTTGGCGGTCCATTCTCTGCCTCCTTTTTACCCATGAACAGGCTGCCACAGATGTGTCTGTTAAATGTGAAATTACTGGGTGCATTGCTATATGATAAAAGGGACTTTGAAAGTGAAAGGAAGTAAGGATTGATGGTGTGATGCCCCTTTGTTGGTGCACACAGGTATCCACTTTTCAAATAAAATTTAAACTCTCAGTCAGTCTATTTAACTTTTTAGTTAAATTTAGCTAAATATATTCCAAGTGCATCAAAACAACATTTTATTTTCTTTATAAAGCAGCCACAGCTGGGGTATAGAAACCCATCCCTTGCCAGCATGTAGCAGAGAAAGACCCTTGATTTCTGTGTGGAAGTAATGGACTCTCTACAGAAATCTGACATGCTGCCTGCTAAGTCAGACCTGTAGCTCTGCATTTTAAAATGCTCAGACTCCCTGTTGAATGGAAAGCTGTAGTGTAGACTCACCAGGGGTATGTAAAAAAACGATGGCTGCTTTCTAATGTATACTAACTGTAAAGCTGGCTATGCACTAAACAGTTGACATTATAACTTCCATTAGTTTGGTGGTTCAAGGGGTTGCCTGATTTGATACAAATTGAATGGATTGTTTAGATGGGTCCTCATATTATATAATATTAGTAAATATAACTTAGATTGTGCAATCAGATTGTATAGTTTGTAGCCAACCTTTAAACTTTGCACAGCTCAATTTTTTATGCATCTGAAACATACTATATGTAACTCATTTAAAGTGGACGTTCATTCATGCTCTGAAAGGGTGTATATTTATCTACAGTATCTCTCTCTCCCTCTCTCTCTCTCTCTCTCTCTCTCTATATATATATATATATATATAGTTGCAACCATTGTACTGCTATCTTGAAAGAAATCCCAATTACTACACTTTCAATCATTTTGTTATGTATATGTATTATATAAAAGAAAACAAAAACAAAAGAAGAGGGAAGAAAAAAGGGTGCACACCAAAAAGGCTAACCTCAAAATGTATGTATTATATAATATTTATACTGGGAATAGAAATAGTCGAAATTCAGGATAGGTTAAATGGATTACAACATAAAGGCTGCTATGAAGAATGGTTTCATTGTATGTCTTAGAAAAAGTCTGACAGCAGTAAAAAAAAAATATTATATTATAGCAGACAGTGATACTGTATTACACTGCTTTTATAAAAATACACTGGACGTTTGTCTTAACTAAGGTAAATATAAACCAAATCTAAACCAAAAATTCTACTAGTTATATTAGAGCCTCTTAAAGATAAACTGTCCAACATATCATTTGTAAGAAATGTAAGCTAAAATGTATTCCTCTGGTATAAAAAAGGTCAAGGGGAGATATTGCACTAAAGTTTTATTTTCCCTGTCAGGTGTCTAGTGCATAGCCCTCCCAAGAATTTAGAATGAGAAACTCCCTTATGTTTATGGAGAATGTTCTCTGGGGAAATCTCTTTTTTAGTTCATGTTTTCCACAATGCACAGAGACTTTTAGTTCTGTTATGTCTTGCAGTATACTGAAGAAATGATGTACATTGGTTAGTTATGGGCACCTGTACATGTCTTTCTTTTGTTTCTTTGAAACATCGAATTCTTTGATGCTGTTGAGTTGTGCATTATCACTCTTTACATACAATACTGGAGCCTTGGGTTATATTCCCTTCATGAACATTATCAGAATAGCTGAGTTTTTAAATTACCCTTTGTAATGTTTGTTTATCCCTAAATAGTTCAGCTTCTTTGCACAAATTAAACCCATTTTCCTAAGTTATTGGATTCCACTTAGCCCGTACCTGACATGGGACTAATTTACTAAAGGAAAGTGAATCTGCATTTGCTTCAAGCGTACAGTTATGTGCAATGGAAGGTCCTATTTCTTTTTTACCACTGCACATGGTTGGATATTTGAAAAGAAAACATGTTGTCTTCTCTTTGGTTTTCATTAATAAACCACTCCCTTATGTGTATGTTTATATAACTGTGGTAGGGACATTAAATGGCAAGTTTCTTTTGCGTAGGTTTTGGTGATAATAGTTAAGTTCTTGAGATATGGTAGAGATATATAAATTGCTATCATTTTGTGTAAGCCATGTCTATGCCCTGTAAAGTGTGTAGTCAATTCCATTTTCTGTGTGGCTAACCATGTATTTGTTACTAAATAGGAAATTGTACAGTGATACCTTGGTTCACAAATGTTTCTGTTCATGAACAACTCGGTTTGCAAAAATTTGCTTTGGTTCTCGAACTCCGCTTCGGTTGATGAATACAAGCCGCAGCCATCTTCCCTGCTCTGACACATGGTCGTGACTTCCTGTAGGCGAGATCATGGTCACAGACAGATACTGAAAGTGTACAGTACATGAAGACACTTACAGTACTGAGAAGCTTTTTGGTGTGCTTTCTAGCTCATACTATACAGTATTGTACTGTAGATCCCTGTGCACACTTGGTGTAAAGATTTTTTTGTGTGCTTTTTAGCACATACTACTGTACCGGATATCCAGTATGGCTCCAAAGAAATTTCAGAGAAAGCATGGTGGTAAGAAGAAATGCAGAGCTGTAATGAAGGTGACAAGAATGTGCAGAGCAAGCATGTTGTTGAAAAGAAAGTGCAGGGTTGTAATGAAGGTGACCAAAACGTGCAGAGCAGTAATGAAGGTGACAGGAATGCGCAGAGTGATAATGAAGGTGACAAGAAAGTGCAGAGCAATAATGAAGGTGACAAGAACGTGCAGAGCCCTAATGAAGGTGAAAAGAAAGTGCAGAGCAGTAATGAAGGTGACAAGAAAGTGCAGAGCAGTAATAAAGGTGACAAGAATGTGCAGAGCAAGCATGGTGGTAAAAGAAAGTGCAGAGTGGTAATGAAGGTGACAAGAACGTGCTGAGTGGTAATGAAGGTGACAAGAATGTGCAGAGTGGTAATGAAAGTGACAAGAATGTGCAGAGCAGTAATGAAGGTGAGGAGAATGTGCTGAGCAAGCATGGTGGTAAAAAGAAATTGCAGAGCAGTAATGAAGGTGACAAAATGTGCAGAGCAAGTATGGTGGTAAAAAGAAAGCGCAGAGCGGTAATGAAGGTGACAAGTATGTGCAGAACAAGCATGGTGGTAAAGAAGTGCAGAGCAAGAATGGTAAGAATAAGGTTGTAAACAAAATATCCATTGAGTTAAAGAAGGAAATTGTAGAAAATCATGACCGTGGTATTTCGTGTGACTGATCTCTCCTCGGAGTATAAGATGGTGAAGTCGACAATCTCGACTATTTTGAAGAAGAAAGCTGCCATCAAAGGAGCTGATGTGGCAAAAGGAGTAACAATGTTAACCAAGCAGAGGGCACAAGTGCTGGAAAAGTTGGAAAAACTTTTGTTAGTGTGGTTGAATGAGAAACAGCTGACAGGTGATAGCGTAGTGAAGCTATGATCTGTGAAAAAGCCAGGAAATTGCACAATTATTTACTGCAAAAAAACCCCTCTACAAGTGCAGAAAGTGAAGAATTTAAAGCCAGTAGAAGGTGGTTTGAAAAATTCTGCAAGAGAAGTGGCATCCACAGTGTGACAAGACAAGGTAAGGTTTCCAGTTCTCACCAGGCCGCTGCAGAAGACTACAAGACAGAATTTGAGGAATTCATGAAGGCAGAAGGATACGTTGCTCAACAAGTGTTCAACTGTGATGAAACAAGGCTCTTCTGGAAAAAGATTCCGAACGGAACCTATATCATGCAGGAGGAAAAGGCACTGCTGGGGCACAAGCCCATGAAGGACAAATTGACCCTTTTGCTGTGTGCTAACGCAAGCGCCGATCTGAAGATTAAGCCACTACTGGTGTACCATTCCCAGACCCCTTGTTCATTCAGGGAACAGAATCTGAACAAGGCCAGACTGCCTGTTATGTGGAGGGCCAATGCAAAAGCTTAGGACACAAGGCAATTGTTCATGGAATGGCTGCACGAGGTGTTCACACCCACCATAAGAAAATATCTTTCTGACAAAAAATATCTGCCTTCCTCACCTCCACCTCCTCCCTCCACGCCGCCAAGCAGGCCTACTTCGTTAACCTGATCAACACCCTCTCCACCTGCCCTCGCCGACTCTTCTCCGCCTTCAACTCCCTGCTCTCCCCCCCCCCTCCTCCACTCAGTACCTCACTTACCGCCCACGAGATTGCCACTCATCTCCACAACAAGATTGACGCAATCTGCAAGGACATAGTCAAGTTGCAATCTACCTCCCCATCTAGCCTCCCCCCTTCCATCACCCCCTCATCTCTCCCCTCCTCTGACCTCGCAATGGCACTGCCCCCCACCACACCCAAGGCCCTGCCTACCGTAACCCCCCCATCACTGCACTCCTTCAGCCCTACTACCACTGACGAAGTCACCAGAGTCTTCTCAGAAGCCCGCCTCACTACCTGCCCCCTGGACCCTATCCCCTCTCAACTCCTCCGGTCACCCCCCTCTTCCCTCATCCGCTCCCTTACCCACATCCTCAATCTCTCCCTCTCTACTGGCGTCTTCCCCTCCCCCCTAAAAACATGCGCACATCACCCCCATACTCAAAAAGCCCTCCCTGGACCCCACTGACCTCAACAACCTCAGACCAATTTCCCTGCTGCCACTCACTTCCAAGC